CTTCAGGGCACTTTTGGCCAGCGGGAGAGGTGTGAGGTTCGAACTCCAGCAACCTGAGGCTGACAGCTTTGTGGAAGCAGCCACTTAAAGGCCTGAGCTACGGCCAGGCCCCCTATCATTGTTGTTATCATCTTTAGACACCCTTCTCCAGTCTTTCAGTTCCGGACTTATTTGGAGAGGCTTAGGCTTCCCAAAGGATAATGTTTAAAAATTATCTTGAATTCTTAATTCTGGCCTATTTATCTGTTTTTTGCCTTTATTTTGTTGTGCGAAGTAGCAAAAGTGAACTGACTCATATTCTCAGTCAGATACTTGCCTGTCTTTGGAATGGGATTTAAGTTCCATTCAACTGACACTTACTGGGCTCTTCTTTTTAATGACTTTTTGGAGAGGGTGTTTCACTGTGTAGTTCAGACAGGGTGGCCAGCCTTAAATTTGCTCTGTAGCCTAGACTGCCTTCAAATTTGCAATTCTCATGCCTCTGCCTCGTGAGTGCTAGAATTACAGGCATGAGCCACTATGCTTGGCTCTGTTGATCTCTTTTATGGGCTGAATTTTGGGATTAAAAAAATGGGTTTCTAGGCAAAACCTTAAAACATTAGCTATAATTTAGTGCCCACTGAGTACTAAGTGGAATATGAGTAATGTCTGGTGTGTGCAGGGATGAAGGAAATAATTTAGAGGAAAGTTAGCCAATAAAATTTATTGTAATGATTGAGAAAAGTACTATATGTCTGTTATCTAGTGTTTAGCCATATTTCAGCTATAGCTGTTAAGATTGAGAAAGTGAAGTTATATTTCATTTTAATTAAATTTGAAAATACATGTGCTGGGATTATAGGTACTACCACTCCTGCTTATGTATTTATGTATTTATTTTTTGGTGAAACCGGGGATTGAACTCATGCCCTTGCGCTTGCCAGGCGAGCGCTTATTCTACTGAGCCATCTCCCCGGCCCCTTAGTTATTTAATACAGGGTCTCACCATGCAGTTTGGACTCATAGTGATCCTCCTATCTCAGCTGCCCTTGTGTTGGGATTACAGGTGTACACCATCCCACCCAGTTCAATAATTCAAAAAAAATTTTTTTTTAATGTATTTGGTACAGGGTCTCATGCAGTCTGGACATGTAGTGATCCTCCTGTGTTCAGTCTCCCGTGTACTGGGATTACAGTTGTGCACCACCATGCACGGTCTCAATGGCGGGCTCAGTGTGCCTAGGGATGAGGCCAGTGTGACACATGGTGCCAGGGATCAAACCCTAGTCCTTGTGCTTGCCTAAGCAGGCAAGATAGCATGAGCTATCTTGCTGGCCCAATAGTTCTAATACAACTACTTATTTATTATTATTATTATTTTTTGATACCTGGTGTCAAACTAAGGATCTTGCACTTGCTGGGCAGGCACTTATGCCACCAAGCTATCTCCTTGACCCCCATTAATTCTTTTTTTTTTTTTTTGGCAGAACCAGGGATTGAACTCGGGCCCTTTTGCTTGCCAGGGAAGCACTTAACTTACTGAGTCATCTCCCTAGCCCCTGACCCCCATTAATTCTAATTCTTAAATACTTTTCTCAGAAATAATTTGAGTTGAGCCCAGTGTGATGACATATGCTATAATCTCAGCGCTGCAGAAGGTTTAGGCAGTAGGATTGCAAGTTTGAATCCCAGTTGTCCAACTTGGTGATGTAAGTCCTGTCTCAAAATAAAAAGTAAGATAAAATAAGTTCACTTTAAAGCCCACTGCTTCAATTTTTTATTTCTTTTGTCATTTTTTTATTTAAAATTCTTGTGGGTTTTTTTTTTTTTTTGTCATTTTGAAATACTGTTTTGCTATTAGTTCGAGCTGGCCTAGAACTCATTTTGTGGTTCAGTCTGGCTTTGTTCTTTTTTTATTTTAGGGAAGGGTCTACAGGGTGTTCAGGGTAGTGATCTGCTGGTTTACAGCCTCTCAAGAGTTGGGATTACAGGAATGCACCACCACGCCCAGTCTCAGTTGCAGTCTCAGTGCGTCCTGGGGGCAGGCCCCATCCTGTGCCTGCTTGCAAGTACTTTAATCCACTGAGCTATTTTGGTGGGCCCTTCAGTCTGGCTTTGAATTCACTGCAATCCTCCTACATCAGTTTCATAAGTGCTAGAATTATAAGTGCACCACTCTGCCCAGCCTGTTTGGATTTTTAGTAGCACCAAAAAAGAAAATTGCAATTGTAAAAAAATAATAATTTGTGTTGCTGGGGTTGGTAGTATATCCTGTAATCCTAGCACTTGGGCGGGATTACAAATTTGAGGTCATTCTGGACTACACAGTTAAGACCCTATTTCTTTTTTTTTTTTTTTAATGCATTTAGTACAGGGTCTACAGGGTCTCGCTACACAGATCAGACTCATAGTGATCCTCCTGTTTTCAGCCTCCCAAGTGCTGGGATTATAGGCATGTTCTACCAGACCCAGTCTCATTTGCCATCTCAGTGCATGGGGCACGGCATCCCAGGAATCAAAACCCAGCCGCTGCACTCTGCCTAAGCAGGCACTTTAGTCCGCTGAGCTATCTGGCCAGCCCTCAAGACCCTATTTCAAGAAAAAAAAATTTGTCTTTTATACTTTCTTCTTCAGTTAAGAGCTTTTTGCGTTTTTATTCTTCATACCTTCTTTAGAGGAGTGAATAAAACTTCTGTAACCAAATAGTTAAATGAGAATATTGGTTTAGTTATGTTTTATATCAGATGAATTAAATATTTGGAAGGTACTCTGCTAGCAGGAACCTTACAAGTGAGACCTAACATTGTTCTCTGAAACACAGTGCATCTTCCAAATACAAGTGGGGGCTCTTGTGTAGTCAGACCAATAGGCAAGAATGCTTTGTCTAACCAAGATAGCTCAGTCCCATCTTATTACTTTGTATCTTCATTGTCCTACACAATTTTTTCCAGGCCTAATTGCAGTGTGAAACATGAGAATTGTCTCAATTTAGTGTGAGCTGCTGGAAGGGCATTGGTTTCCAAGTGTTTGTTCTGACTCCTCTCATGCCTTTCATTGTTGTTGTCAGACTTAGAAACTTTCTCTCGTTATTCTTTTCCTTAGACAACATCATCAGCTTTGAAAGGTGCCATCCAGTTAGGCATTACTCATACCGTGGGGAGTCTGAGTACCAAACCAGAGCGGGATGTCCTCATGCAAGACTTCTACGTAGTGGAGAGTATCTTCTTTCCCAGGTATGGAGGTTAAATTAATGTTTAGGAGAATATCCTTAAAAATATCGTTTTCGGCAGTCTCGGGAGCGGCGAGGAGAGCGGGTCGCGTCAGTCATGTCCTCAGGGTGGTGGCTGCGCCCTGGGGTCGGTCCCTAGGCTGTCCGAGGTACAACAAAGTTTGTGCATTTTGAAGATGTATGAAAGTCGTGGACAGTATTTTTCAAGAACTTATAGAAGATAACTGAAGAATATTGCATGTAATAAGATAGCTGCAAATGAATGTACAAGTCCTTCAGCAGTTATTAAAAATACTTCATTGCCTCAGGTATGGCATGGCAATGTAGAAGGAACAATGAAGACAGTGGTCAAGAAAACATGAACAGAAGCAAATGATGAAAATATTTGATGTTGAAAAATTCGCAAGTTATGTAGAAAAATAGACGACTAATTATAACTGAATAATAAATTGTTTTATTTAAAATATAGCCTACTGAAAACATGTGTTCTTAATTTTTAGTCAGACCTATTTTCAACCTACCTTAATGACACTTGTCAAACATTAGCTCATTTATGGGTAGTGATTCTTACTGAAGTGGACAGTTGGAGTCATTTCTAGTATCTTTTTAGGTTT